AAGCATCTTAGTCCTTTCAATGTAAAGAATGCAACAACACCAGCTTGTAGCTCTGCATGCACCTGTCTCTTCATGATACAAACCAAAAGTGAAAGTAATGTGAACACTTCTTACACTGCGCTAAAGTAACAAATACTTCACATTGGCAACCTGTTTAAATGCAATAATTTTGAAGCATTATGAATGAAAGCTAACTCCATGTTTAAGTGAAAAGAAATGAGATTAGCAAGGCTATCTGCTTTTTTTAATGGTAATAGCAGAAACTGAAAAACATAAACACAGCACAAGTTTTAAAGTGTTCAAACTTGCATGGACAGGGACAAGCAGAGTTCGGTTACACGGGTGGTGATATGCCTCACTGTTCACTCACTCTTTATTAACTGGTTCTTAAACAAAGAGAAGATGTTATCTTAAACTGGAAATTTCTGATTATTGCAGTGCATTGAAAAACAAATCGGACAAAAAATGAAATGGTAAATGCAGAAAGGCTTGAAAACTTCAGTGCCATTGTCTCACAGTGACAAAGCAAAAACACTGATATACGTTTTCTTTTCTTTTTTTCTTCTTTTTTTTCTTCTCAAGAGACAGACACGGTTTTGAGTTTAGTTAAGCATTATGTGGTCAAACCAGTTGAGCTGTTGTGCAAGGTGTGTGCCATTGTGTTCCTCCTTGAATAATTCTCACTCAACGGGCTGCATTAGAGTGGATGAAAGACATGCAAGTAGGTGTTAAACTTGTTTATCTAGGCACAGTATACCAAAAACAGCAACACAAGGAATTTTTGACAAAGGCACAGAGAACACATTATCAAGTGCTGTCCAAAAAAACAGAACAAAAAACCCAAATAGGAACTGTTAACTGTTAAAGTAACACTCTGTGTACTGTTTAAGAATACTTTAGTCTTATAAAGGTTGAACCTTGTTCTGATTTAAAAAAAAAACAACAACAAAAAAACCCAGAAAAAAACCTCCTTGTGGACTTTGAACTTTGTCGTTTGTGTTGGTTACACTGTAATCAAGAATTCGGAGCAGGAAGTTTTAGGATTATGCGCATTGCTGAGTCTCGGTTGCAGACAGGAACAGAAAGAAAGAGAGGCAGGGAGAGAGAGGGAGGGACTTGTCTTGATTCAGTACAATGACGTGCGGTGTGGTGCAATTTTCACATGACTCAAGCACTTGTGGGATACTTTGGTAAGGTGTGGAGCTGAATACCCAGTAGAAATGCACACTTTGGCGTGGATTACAACACAAGGTTTTAAAGAAAGTAAGACTATTCTCTATTAGATTACTAATTTTGCTGTAGTTTTATGTCATTATACTCCTGTCTTATCTAATGTCATACTACAGTGTTCTTATTTTTCATGTTTGAATGCGTTTTAAGCAAGGACTATTGAGTTAACAGCGAACACTGTAATGGATTTGTTAATAACACAAAGATTGCCAATGCCAGTCAAGTTGCTAGATCTAAATTGTATTGATTAAGTTATTCTGTTAAACAAAATAACTTATTTTTTTTTATCTCTTTTTGACTAGACCATAAACAAATGTGAAACACATATTCATATATGTGGGTTTATAGTTTATCTCAGTGCCTCACTCCCTTCCTTGTACAAATAGAGTTTCTATGTGTATAACTTCCAATCTCTAACCCAGCTGATGATCAGGAAGCAGCCAAATTACTCGCTTAACAAGGTTTGAATGTTGCCCTCAGAGAAATATGCGTAGAAGAATGCTGTAGGACTGCTGCAGATACCTAAAGAAGAATGTTGGCTCTTGGATGGTCCTTCTGGTGTATTTTACTGAGTCTACACATGCCACTTCATGGCTTGGAGATTTTTGAACATGACAGCCACAAAGTCATTTGCTCACAGGTACTATAATTTACAGTGCTTAAATACACCGACAATGGCATGCCCTGTACATAAAACACAGTTTTCATTGATAGTTTATCATAATGTCCCTGAACATTTTCATTTCCTGTTTCACCAATTAAGTTATCTGTTCTTAAACATTTAATTAAAAGCAGACAAAAGGTTATATGATCAGAGTGTTTTATGTTTTATAACATAGTCATCAGAACTGCAAATATTGCCACCCAGGCTCATTCAGTAACAAGTCAAATGTTTTTCCTCCAATTTTTTTTCTCCTTAAAGGGTCTCTCTAAATGCAAGATGAAAGATGAGATGCCTGTTAATCCCAGCAAAAACACTGTGGATGTTCAGACACTAAAACCAGATTTTAAGCTCTGCTGTACGAACAAGACAGCATGTGCATTATGTTTGGTGATAGACATAGAGTTTAACATCGATCCAGATGAAGACACGGAGGATCAAGGCTCCTCTGGCTCAGAAATGGAAGAATACAGAGAAGACAAGATCACTTCACAAGGTATTTGAAATCCACTTATAAGTTCAAACATCAGCCTTGTATTAAAACAAAAGGAAACTGTAACGTGCCTTTTTATGTGATGCAATTTTTAAACTTTTGTCTTGGTTGAAGGAAAGCCACTACAGTGAGCAATGACTCTTATTTACTTGAAAGTCAGAGTTACTTGCTGCGATATACAAGCAGATGTGTTTTGGAAGCCATCCAAGTGAGATGTAGAAGAACATGTTCTGGCATGTTGGGAATCATCACTGGAACAATGTCTGAGCAAACATGGAGTTTATTTGTGAAATGGTTCGTGTGAAATGAACACGTGTTTGGCTAACAAAACAACAATTTAGCTCACAATAAAAATCAGTTACATCTGATTTGCTTTTTCATAAGTCAATCTGAAGAAGCAGAGGTTTGT